AAGCGAGGAAGTAGAACCATCCATTTTCATGCTGCGTCTCTGGGTAATTCGTTTCCCGGTGTACTGTAGATTTATCTGCTGGGATCAGCAACGGGAGAATTAGCAGCGTGACCTCCTTCTGCACCGTTCCAGCACGCCGGTAAATCTCGGTTATTAACTTCCAAGGTGCTCTGCCCACCCATGCCGGGCGGGTAATTAACCGGCCTGCCCGGGGAGGGCCGTTCTTCCTCACCGGGATGGAGGAAAATGTGTCACTGGGGCAAGATTCGAGAGCCGGGTCCTCACTGGCGGAGACGCCTCTTCTGCTCGCCTGGCCCTGGAACCCCGCCGGGAGCCCCGGGACCGAGCGGTGCCCCTGCGGGCCCGTCCGTTCAGCAGCGGTGATGGAGGCTCTGCTCCGCGCCAAGGGCGAGCGCTTTGCTTTTTTTTGGGGGGGAGCTGTTTTAGGAGAAAGGTGAAGCAATATTTTTCTCAGCCCATGAGTGAAGCGTGTTCAGCAGCGGCAGCCCCAGACTGCATCCTGAACTTTTAACTGATTAGATTTAGAAGAGGGAAGGAAGGACCCGTCCGTTCAGCAGCGGTGATGGAGGCTCTGCTCCGCGCCAAGGGCGAGCGCTTTGCTTTTTTTTGGGGGGGAGCTGTTTTAGGAGAAAGGTGAAGCAATATTTTTCTCAGCCCATGAGTGAAGCGTGTTCAGCAGCGGCAGCCCCAGACTGCATCCTGAACTTTTAACTGATTAGATTTAGAAGAGGGAAGGAAGGATGTCTAATTGTTTAATTTCCACAATTATAAAAATATTTATAAATAATTAGAACTGATGGCAGCAATTACACTGTGATTAAAGCTGGTCTACACTTCATCAACGGCCCTTCAGTTATATAGCCTTATTTATTTATTTTCACCACAAAAAATCCATTTGCAGCGGCCTTGCTGCCAATAATGAATCATACTTATTCACTGCCTGCAAAGGACTCATTAATCTGATGATGTTGCTTGTTAGAGGATCGGTGCTGCGCCGAAAATGTGGTCACTGGACTTTGGCAGAAGGAAACTTCATTTCAGTGGGTAGGAAACCGAAGCAGAACTAAAAATCACAACGTTTCTTCCCGTGCGTGTGGGTGAGAGCTCAGAGTTTCGGCCGGCCTCACGCTCCCCTCCTGACTCGCCGTTAATTTTCCCTCCGGTCCCTCGTCCAAGTTGGGCATCGCTGGGCAGAGGGGTCGCTGCTCTGATCGCCGTTTTTCTAAGACGAGGTTGTGCCTGGTAATAAAAGAGGGAAAATCTTCCCCTGTCAGAGGGAAAAGTCTTTCCAGGCACTTTTCCTGCCTCGGTGGGAGAGGTGGGGCTGCTGGTGTCCGTGTGCTGGGGCTGGTGCTCGTGTCCGTCCTGCCCTCCCATGGGAGCAGCGCCGGGCTGGGGGCTGCGGCACCCGCCGCCTGCCCACAGCCTTGCTCCAGGCCAGGATTTCGGTGCCAGAAAGCAGCACAAGCTCTTCTATTTTTTTCTTTTCCCCGGTTCCAGTTCAGCAGAGCGCCTGAAAATACCCGTAATTTTATATAAACAATCGGTCCCATCGAGGAACTCCCTGCGGCTGCTGAGCCCAAGTGGACTTTGCCGTTCGCACGAGCCCCTCGGCTCCCAGCCGCCGGCTTTGACTCAGCAAAACAGCCGATGCCCCCCAAGCGCGATGTCCCGGCCCTCCTCCCGCCTCCACGAGAGCGCGGCCGCACGTGGGATTTCATCTCTCCTAACACACGTCCTCGTCCTAACACCCAGCCCCGGTGTCACCTGGGGGCTCCTGGGGACAGAAATGACACCCTCGACTCTCGGCCAGGCTTCGTTTTCAAGCCACTTCCCACCAAAGCAGCTCTTGTCCCAGGTCCCTGGGGGAATCCCCGGGGGGTGGATTAGCCGGGGCTGCACCTGGTGTTTCCTTGGCTCAGCTCCCCCGTCCCAGGTGCAATGAGTTCCTGGGATGTGCTGATCTCAGGGCACCTGGTCCCGCTCCTCCCCTGCCCTCCTTATAATCTGCCGGGAAGGCTGGTGCCCTCCAGTGTGGGGAGGTGAGCTGTGAGCTGCAGCGTGTCCCGCTGGTGTCCTGGGCAGCCCTGCAGCCTGTTCAGCTCCTCTTGGCTTAAATTTTGGGGCACAGCTCGCTCGTGGGTCAACAGAGGTGCTGCGGGGAGTTTTGAGACAGCCTTCCCACCGGAGCGGAGGTGTCACCGTCGCCCTGGCGGACGCGGCCCCGTAACCGGCTCGCTGGCGCGGCAGCTCTGCAGTGAGTGCTTTGCCGTGTGTTCCTTAAGTGTTTCGCGAGGGGTTTGTTCCAGGCTGGGAAAAGGCAGCTCTGATGCTAAAACAAGGGGCTGCGGCTTCCAGTTGGTGGATTAATTTTGTCACTCGTGGATGTTTAAAAGCGCTGTGCGCTGTTGGTGTGCGGCAGGTGGGAAGGGCTGCGCTCCCGAAGGCCTGTGCGGGGAAAGGGACAGGAAGATTTCAGTTTGAAATTTATTATTTGTGAGGAATCCTCGCTACCCCTGAGGTGTTGCTGTCGTCCTTCGCAGAAAGCGAGATCAGAGCTGCGTGGCCGGGGCAGGTTGTGGCTGAGCCTTGTGGGAGCAACCAGGGCTTCCCCCGCTGCACCGAGAGCACCGGCTGCAGCCCGTGTTTCCAAGAGCAAGGGGGGTAAAACCAGAGCAGGAGAAAAGAGGATTTAGAGAGGTGGGGAAGGCTCTCGCAATCCCTGGTGAGCGTTGCAGCTGGGGGAGGCAGGGAGGGATCCTAAAAAGTAAAGGTGAGGGAGAGTGAGAGCTGATTAGAGCGATTTGTAAATCTGAGGTGTGACAGCAGCTCAGGAGGAGGGGAGGGAGTTGTGAGGGATGGTGTGTCGTAAATAAAAGGTTCAGCTGCGTTTTGGGCTGCCGTAGGGACCGGAGGCTCTGGCTGGATGGAGAGAACTTTCACACAGGAAAGGTCAGAGCGAAGCCGTTTCGCATCAGGTTTTCATGAAAGGGTCCACAGAATTAATGACACAAACGCCTTTGCAACGCTGAAGTATTTGACCTGTTTTTCTACTCCTCGGGCCCACTGAAAAAGTTGAGGCACTCTAAGAGCTTCCTGTACCTCCAGTTTTAGAAGGAGGAGGCCGTAAGTGTTCGCGTGACCTCGCTTGCCGCTGCCCTCGGTACCTACTTGCTGCCGTTTTTCCCCCCCGATCGTTTCAGCGTGTGGTGTTCCTCGCTTGCGAAATAGGCCAAGAGATGCAGGCAGCGATCGCCGGGCCCGTCTGCTTAATCTGTATAAGCCCGAGCCGTGCTCACAGTGTCCAGTTGGCAGCTAAGATAATCAGCCTACAGGCAGTTTAAATGCTCGTTACAGTACATGTTATTTGTCAGTACTTAATAAGTAATGATTCTGAAAAGCTCCGAGCGTGGTCTGTGCCCGTACCATCTCCTGCTGTGTTCCTGTCAAAATGGATAAGTTAAACCGGGTTGAATCTGGTCGATTTTTGGATGAATACACACCAAGGGATTTCTAGATGCCACAAGAAGTTGCGGTTATGGAGTAGGAGGTGCTCTTTTGCTTGACTTAGTCCCACGTAATCCTTTCTGTTTCGCACTGGCTCCTGCACCGTGGCACAAGCGGCTTTGAAAGGGGCCGTGTGGGTCGGCCGTGCTTCAGGAGGGAAGGGAGGGTGGGAGGTCTCTGGGCTCCGTGGACAAAGTGAGCCGGGCAGGCAGCAGCTCCGGGCAGGGAACAGCTCACAACGAAACAGGTTCTAAACGCCCGTGTTCCGGTTGCTGCACCGTGGGCTCCGAAGCCTGTGGCCGTCTGGCCGCTCTGGGGGGCTCGCACAGCCCCTGCTCTGCACCGCACAGGGCCCGCAGAGAAGTCAGGGCTACCTGGGGAGCTCGAGAGCAGTAAAATAAAATCTTTACTGACAGCGCTTTGTGAGCAACATGATCAACTGCCGCAGGTCCAGCAGCTACCCTTCAAAAGCGGATCGGCGGAAGTCTGCTCTGGGAAGAGAACTTTCCCATTATCTCAGCGCTTTGGCAATTTGTGTCTTGACTTGTTACTCATCCGGTGAACTTGTCGGGAATTTACAGCTGGGCTAAGAGGATCATCTGCTCGTACGGCCCAGAGCAGGGCCAGCAGAGCTCTGCCGTGAGGATTTGATGCAGCTGAAGGAAGCTCTGCAGCCTCTCCGCTTCTCCCTGGGGACAAACCCGCTTCTTTCTGGGGAGCAGTGGACAAGGAGAACCGTGAAATCTGGGTCCTTAATTCTCCTGACTGCTGGGCTGTAGGATTTGTTATTAACCCCCTCTCTTGCCTCCCAATTTCACTTTCCACTCTGCTGCTGCCTGCTCCTCAGCAGAGCTCCCGCTGGCAGGGTGGTGCGGGCAGCCCTGAGCAGGCCGGGGTCTGCTAACGGGCGAGTTGTGCAGTTTAGCACAGGGCAGGCTGGAACACTTCAGACAGGGAGAAAGAAACGTGGAAAAATGAAGGGAAGGGCATTCACTGTTTTTTTTTTTTTAAATCACGAAGATTTGATACTTCTGTTAATATCTGCTAGAAACTGCTCAGGGATTCTGGCGCACGTCCCCCCGCAGCTATCTGCCCTTTCCCTGAATTGTTTAGAGCTCCTTTATGCTCTCTGAGCAAAGCTGCGGCGTGTCTGGTGTCACCACCAAGAAACTCTACACTAACAGCCACGTGACAAACTTTTTTGGTTGCATTACTTTACCTTGCATGGACACTTCATTTTGTGCGTCGCTGTTCCAGCCTCCGTGGTCCCTGAGTACAGAAGATCCAGGGGTGCAGGAAGGATGATGTTTGGTGGTGGTTCAAAAACGAATGTCGGATTCCAGAGCTGGCAGCTAGAACCGCAGAGGACACCACGACCCCGGGAAGGCTTTCACAGCTGCTCTGCGCTTCTCCAGTCCGTCCTCAGTTTATCAGCAAGCTCTTGCTCCGCGCTCTCTGACTCAGCCCTGTACAAATCTGGCGGGTCACTTCGTTGTCAGGGCTGTGAGTTCTGGGATCGCAAACCACTGCGGAGAAACCACAGCCAGCGCTTCAGCCAGCTCCCCTCGGCCTCAGCCAGTGCCGCACCATGTGCCTCTCTGACGCCGTGAGGGAGATCTCGTCCTTCCCGAGCTCGCGGAGCCTCTCGCTCAGGAGCTCCAGAAGGAGCAGTCGCAGCTGTTGGCGGAAGATCTTTTAAACCAGCGGATTTTTCCAGCAGCATTGCTGCTAAGGTCCTTTTCTTACCTGCTCTGTGTCCTGAGCAGAGTCACTCCCCAGTGACCTGGAAGAAAAACCCCTGCACGGCTTCCACTTACTCCGTTTGGAAACACGGCCGCACCGAGGAGCGCGCTGGGGCACGCTGCCAGCTTGGCTTCTGCTTGGTCGGGTTTTCTTAAATCCACGAGGTGACTGTCTTTCCAAAAGATGAGTGGAACTATCGTCACTTTGGACCCGGATATTTACCGAACGCCCTTCAGAGCAGCCTGCGATCAGAGCTGATAACCTCCATTTAAACCCAATATTTTCATTTGTGTAATATAGAATATTATTTCTATTTTATGTTTACCACAGCAACTACTGCAGTTCTTGTGGGTCACATCACTTTTCCCAAAACCTGATTGACAACTGTCAATCTGAGTAACTGAGAAACCATTGCCCATGTAGGGTTCTGCAGGAGCAGTCTGACACTCATGAGCTGAAGTGTAGGTGTGCTCCTTGAAACCTCTCCAGTTCCATCTCCAGTTCCATCCCTAAAATAAAGAAGTTGGGTGTTCTTACCAATTTTAAAAAAATGTTGGTACGTGCTCTGTAGTCCTGATTTCCACTCCCCTGCTGACCTGTCACCTGAACTGGGAGGGTCTTCCTTTGCCTGCAGGGCGCCCGGGATCGCACCCACCATGCCATCCGATGGTGTCCATTGATGTTAAGAAGGCGGATCTTAGAAATCAGCTGCAGCAGACTTGCTCTGAACTGTGTTGCATTTACCAAATCATAAATCAAAGATCTGGTTTAGAGAGCTGGAAGTTCAGAGCACTGATATAAATACTGACTTTATAATTCTTTATTCGTAAAAGTAAATATAAAACAAATAATGAGCCTGAGTTATTTTTAAACTGTTTGGATCAATTGGACTATTCAAAACAGTTTTCCATCCTGAACGGAATGATTTGAACTCCACAAATCACCATTTGCAATGATATTAATCCCATAAAAGCTGGATTACTGCCAGCCAAATCCGTAGCTGCTGAGGCAGAGGTTTGTGCTCACTGTGCAGAGAAGACACGAGGGCGGCTGACACACAACCTCTTGAAACTCTCATGTTTGTTGCATCTTCACAATCGTAAGGAACCTGGTGTTGAACTTCTTCCCATCCCGGTGTGAAAGGATTGGCTATGGGTGAGGGGGGGAAGAGAGACATGTGTACGTGTGAAGGACATGTTGCGGTGATCCCTGGTACCTCAAGCAGAGATCTTCAGGTTCGTTGCAGAAGACATCGACAAACAAACTGCGCTACTGCCTTTGGCACCTTCCAGTGCCCACTGCATCCTGCCATACCCTTGGGATTTGGCCTCTAACTTGTGAGGAATGGTGGGGTTTTTCTTTCACCTGCCACCATCTGCAGCCGAGATCATGTTTTGAAACGGTTCTTTTGACAGGGCGCGTCTGAACGTTGGAAAACTCCTGACGGATAAAAGGGGAGAAGCTGGAGCTGGTCCTGGTGGCTTCTATGCAGTTACTTAAATCGCTTTGTTCCTGTAAGAGGCAGAGGCCAAGCAGTGAAACAACGTGGGGAAAAAAATGTGAAGCTGACAGGAAGAATGGAACCCAATTCTCACACAGTACCTCAGGTTACAGAAAGGGCTGAAGTTTCACGTAAATGTAGAACTTCCGGGTCCTCGGTTTGTTGTGAATATTTTTTGACTTTACGGAGGGGAAAATGGCCCCAAAATTGTTCCATAACCTGTTGGATAGTCCTGCTTGGCATGTGAGGAGAACAGACACAGGAGCAAACGTGATCAAAGCGTTAATGAACAACGTCCTTTCCTCAGGGATAAAACATCCCTAAATTAGGGCAGCCACCAGGGTTGAGTTAACCCGCTTTGCAAGGCAATTCAGTCACATCAGCATTACCACACGGGAGCTACGAGGCTCTTGCTTTTAACCTCTGTGCAGTTTCCTAGAATCAACTAAACTACAGAGGTCATCGACTTACTAAAAATCAAATAATGAAAACCAAATTGGCCATTTTCCTTCTTTACAAAAAAAAAAAAAAAATTAAAAAATCATGGCATCTTATCAGCACCTCCTTCCACCAACCCTCTCCAGCTGCACACCTTGAGAAGTAACGTTCCTCGCTGAGATTGCAAGGACAATACTACAAATTCAACATATCGACTGCATTTTAGCTCCATCTGTGGGCTAGTGAGAAAAAATACAGGGACTCTGCAAGAAAGGGGAACTGCTCCGGAAGGTGCGCTCCGGCGTGGTTCGGAGGCTGCCTGTAGCACTCCCGGGTGGCTTCCAAAAAGACGTGATCCCTCCCAAGCAAACACTGAAACCTGGTGCCTTGACACCTAACCACCAGCTCCTGCAGGAGGCCTTGGCTCGGTCTCTGGATAGAATGACACGGGTAGGAAGGCTCCACGATGTGACACGTCACGTCAGAGACGATGTTATTTAAGATTTTCTTTGGTTCCTCAGAGAAGTGTCTGCTGTCTCGCGTTCCTTCGTAGCGAAGCGAACAACCCCCGGTGCGCGCGGTCAGCTTCCCTGTACGCTTGGAGAGAACAGTTTGGGTGTGAGTTCTGGGGTGTAATCGCAGCCTGAATCTTATACAGAGCCTTATCGTCTGCATCTCAAACTCGGGCTCTTGTTCAAAAGTAAACAAATACGTCAAGCTTCCCCACTAACCATGGCAGAACGCATTTGTCTGTGCCAGAGCTGACTCAAATAAGAGACGCCTTGGTCTGAAACATCCACTGCTTCTGTTACCGGGCTCTGCTCCCAAACAGCGAGACAAAAAGGGGGCAAACAGTGAAGTAACGCAGAACCAGTGTGTCTGCAGAGCTGGGTGACTGGGCTGGACTGGGCGGCTGCAAAACCGTTCTGTGCAGTTACGGTGCAGCAGTGAATGGTTTTTAAATGGTTGTAAAGCTTGGTGCTTCTCAGGGATTTTTGGGATGCGGTTTTGTGGGTGGGGAGCTGGCACCGGTGGGAGAAGGCTCGAGTGTGCAGCCGGGGCAGAGGGCTGGTTCTGCCCCAGCGTGGGCTCGCCTTGGTAATTTCTCTCATGGGAGACTGCGCTCGGACACGAGCTTCCTTTTCAGACCTCGGGTGTCACCAGAATTGCTGAAGTTCGCTTCGTTCTTGTAAGGGTCGAGATCAGTTTATCCTTTGGGTTGCCGTGTGTTCTTGGTAGCAGTTCTTTAAACCTTTCCAAAACTGGGAGACACAGGGTTTGTGTATAAATATGAAAAAATTATTTTCTATTCTGGGAGAAAGGGTTAACTAATAATTTTTTTATCGAGCCTGGCCATAAGCATGCCCCTCACAAACCCACCGAACTGCAGAGGCTACGTGCAGTAGCTTGCTAGAAAGTCACCAATCTTACCGCATACCATAAATTCATGCGCCTCAAATATTTCTCTCTCTTCTTGTGTTGTAGTTTCTATGATCTTGTGAGAGAGGGTGCAAGGGCAGCCTCTGGACGTAGGCTCCTTAAAACCCATCACCATCAGCTTTCCTGTTTCTGCGAGATTCACACATCTTTGCCCTAGAACAGAACCAGGAAACACTTGATTACGGGAGTTGGTCGGTCTCTGAGGCTCTGCTCATCCAGAACATTTGAAGATGAGATCTTGCTTATGTACATAATGACGCTGATCCATGTTAGTCTGAAACATTCTAAAATTCATGACCTTTAGGACTTATTGCAAGTTTCCTTCCCTCTCAAGCATTTGAAAAATTTAGAGGGGGAAGAGAAACACGGTGTAATGTCAGAGCTCATGGAAAAAATTGACAAATGACCAAGTGACTGTTTGGACCCACCATCCTACTGCAGGGTGGTGTTAACAGAAACAAGGAAAATATGTGATTTCACGTACAGTAACCTACTTAGCCACCTGTGGTTGGCTTTTTCCCTTATAAATAGAAAACAGAAACTGTTTCTCTGTCTCAGCCTGTTTTCCTGATCGCCTCCCCGCCCTCCGAGGCAGAGGCTGTTCCTACCTTTGTGAAGAAAATCCTGTCCTATTAGTGTCTGGGGAAAAAATGGCTAAGGCCAGTGGAGTGGAAATCCTTTGCAGTCCGAACGCAGTGACTAACCTGCTATTTTTTTTCCATCTGGACCAACCCACAAATGCTTGGGGTCCATTACTTCTTCTCAAGAATGAGCCAAATCTGTACATACCAGAAATGGGCTATTTGTGGGCACCTTGACATGGATGTTGACTGTAACGCAAGAGAACAAGGTGAATGACATGAGATGCTTACACTGCATGAAATCGCCAGAACAGTCGTTTCAAAAATCTATTCAACGTAACGCAAAGTTTATTCTTCACGTTTGAACGGTGGGAGGTTGATCTTTGATCTCCTCCCGCTCTTATTAATGTCACGGAACTGTCCACGGCGTGGCTGGTGCTGACACTGCGCAGGAGACGCGCGAGTCCCGCACGAATCCCCTCGCAGGGTCACGCAAAACACCAGATCTTCAGCCCGTGGCTGAGCGGGACCCTCGTGTAGACGTTCAGAAGCGCTTGTAGTAACCGTGGGACAAATGTATTTCTGAACCCACCCCCCTCGTTACTGCGGTACATCGGGAGCGGGTTCTGTGGTCTCCGGTGCTGCGTTCAGCTTTGTGTCGCTTCCATGTGTAGCGGCATCTATGTGACGATCACTGCAATTCAACCTCCATTTTTAAAGTCCAGGAATACCTAGATATGTGTATAAAAAAAAGGACAAGTTTACCTTCATATTTGGTGTTGCCATAAACACAATTCTTTTCAATTAAATCAACAGAATGTTGC